CCCCCCCCCCCCCCCCCCCCCCCCCCCCCCCGCCGTGTACTGGGAATAGGAATATTATTCAGTATTACTGTTACCGGCAACAAGAATGCCTTACAGTACTACTTTGCTCGATAATGTAAAACATGAGTAAGAGTAACACTGCCATTCCTAATTACGACTGATTTTTTATCGCGTACTGCAGTGCGCTATGGGGCAGATGGCTAAACGCCCCATACTGTATATATGTATATAAAGAAGAAAAACACTTATCATTAGCAAATATTGTACAACAGGAGAAACATGCATATTAAATGAATGACCCTCAAACGAGAACATAAGGAAAAGGAAGATGAAAAGATAGTTGACCTACCCTTTTTTTCTTTGTCTGTGTGCATAGATTGCGATAAATTATGTACCATTCAAAAGTCCTTCAACGACTACAACAACAAAGAAAAAAATATTTTGCACGCATACTCCTTTTTGAAATTATAAGTCATCGACAATGCTCAATGTGTGTTTTCGAAAAATCGTACGAGCACGCAGTAACAAAAATATTGGTAATACTTCCATGAGAAATAGTCTCAACATGTCATAGTCATTCCAATTTATAAAATGCTAAAGTCTTTCGAAAGTATCATATTGGTCGTGTAGAGATCTCCTATAAACATATACACAAATATAAGTAAACATCATGATTCGTTCATCAAAGGATATTTTAGCAGCGTGGAAGACAGTGCGCTTTTATAAAACGTAATAAAAACGTAATTTATTATTTTGTGTTGCAATAGCCAAATAATTAGAATCAGCAAGAAATACGGCTTGTTCAACATTCTCATTATATTCAATAATCGTTTCTGATGTACAGTCGTCTTTAACTAGACTGAAAACTTTGGAATCCTTATGGGAAATCAACCAATCACCTGTTGTCGGTATTGGTATGGGATATGAACATCGATCTATGTTAACAACTTTCAATATTTTCATATCTCTGTCACGTAATTCAAATCGACGAATGTCTTTTTGATCACTAGCAGTAACTCCAATATGATTTGGATTTTTAATAGAAAAAAGCATTTGAATAATACGCCTTTCAGTTTCATTCTTCCAGTGCTTTCTTATGGTGAAATCGTTCAAATTCCATTCTTCTATTCGACAACCCGGACCTTCATAGCAAATAACTAAAATTTCATTGAAACAAGTACAACCAGAAAACATTATTTTTGGCTCAAGGGGTTTAATTTGTTGAAGAGGCTCAAATTGATGATTTTGCTCATCATATGTATAAAATGAAGTATCCGCTTGTAATAAATATTTATGGAAATGCGATGACCAAACAATCTCCCAAATGTTACTCTTAATAGGTAATTTCTCAGTATGCTTCAAACCAGCTTGGTCATATAAATCTAATTTCTTTGTATCATTATCATAAAATAGAAATGATTTATTCGACGCACCCATTCTAATATCATTTTCGTCAGTAGGAACATCGAGCACTATCTGTGGTTCTCTTGTTTTTATTAAATCAAAATTGACTTTCATGGACTTGGCTTCTGTAGATTTGACTAATTTAACCATTGATGACCAGTCAATGTCATCAGTTATCTGAACATCTATTTGACTGGTATCAGAGATTTCAAGTTGATGTTTCAGTTGTTGTAATTTTTCCAGCGGTTGTTGCAAATCTGCTTCAACATAATCATCTTCCGATTGCTTCTGTCTTAATTCATCGGTTATTAAACGAAAATCATCTTTAACTTTGTTTATTTCATTTATTTGCTTCTGTAGTTGTTGTCGAACACGCTCAGCTGCTGTTCTTATTTGCTTTATATTTTTTCGTTCCCATTCGTCGATCTTTTTAATGGTAGCAGCTATGTGTTTCTCATCCTTTTCTGTTGATGATAATGGTGTTGGCGCATCAAGCAGTTGTTGTAGCAACTCATGTTGACGTTTAACTTCATTCATTCCTTTTCCCAATTGTTGTGGACGTTGTTGAAAACGCTTAAACAAACAAGATGAATGCTTAAACGAACTTATTTGATTTTGCTTTATACATGACTGAATGCTACTATTTCGAATGAAAACATTTTCGGTTTTGTTTAGTTTTTAAGTTTTTAAAACTATAAATCATGTGCTTGTCGAAAGTTTTTTCATTCGAAGTAGCAGCATTCAGTCATGTATAAAACAAAATCAAACTAGAATGCAATTATGCTACGCACAAGTTGCGATGTCGATAGGCAATGTGGACACTTCCAACTATCTAACACTACGGCAGATGTTTAAGCAGTAACTTTTCATAGTATCAATCAGCAAAAAAACCAGCACGCTTTTGAGGCTATGTGCTTAGATAACATAACACCAGAGTAAGCTATCCTTTCGACCAATACATAAAGGATAAGAAGCTGCTAATATTATAAAGAGACTTGTAACAGTTTCAGCGGAGTAATGATCAGTCCTTTTTTCTTCTTATTGTGATTATTCTAAACCGTTTCAAGAATCAATGAATAACGTTTTAAAATTATTCTTCGGTGTGTCTTCTATGTTTTAAAGGACTGGTAATCACTTAGTATACCTTTTATTAGATGCATGTATGTGGAAACAAACATTCACTAGTTCGAAGATATGTACACAGATTCATTTCTCAATTCTATCTACAAATAAAAAATGTGGCGTCGGACAACTAATGGTAATTAAAAGTTCGAAGTCCAAGACACATTTTTCTTCCACTTGTGGAACTCATCTCGCCGAATCTGATTGTTTAGAAATAGAACGTGAAATGGTCCACATTCAGTATTCAGAGAACTGTCTCTCGTTTTCAGAATATCTCTACCTTATGTAGTTCTCTAGATCATACGACTCACTTTTTGCAAAAGCAATGACTAAACAAGAAAAAAAATCTCTGGACAAATCCAAAATGTCTATCGACATAATAAGTTCGTTTAAGCATTCATCTTGAACCATAACAAAATCGAGAATATAAAGTTCTGTTATATCACTGCGAAACTTAAACTAAATCAGATAACTTGCTTTGGATGCATTTCAAAATAAAATCAGAGACGAATAGTTCTTCTTATAAAAGAATTCTGATACTTTAACGTAGGTCAGCATGTGTTAACATTTTTTTTTCTCAGAAGAAATGCAGCGTTTGAATGGGTTAAATGTTCGCACATACCACCTGAAAAATTAATTTCTACAGCAAAAGAAGGGTACTACCTTACATTTGTTTGAATCACTGCGCCTCAAACATTCCACAGAATAGACGCCCCTGTGCTAACCTATATCAAGCAGTTGCATCTGAAAGAGTTACTTTAAATGAATTTAAATCTAGATAAATGCACTCTTATTACTCTTAAGCATTTATGAATTCAAACTCGTTATTCCTTTTGTACCTTTGTAAAAACTAACGATGTACAACTTGAACGATGTTTAAGAAAATTCATCCCTTTGTTTCGTATCCTTAACTTCTAAGTGAATATCGTAGTCTTTTCCTACGAAAACACACAGTATATTCGCTCATAAATTTTTCCCTTTTTTTTATGTGTAACAGTTGATCTATCACAATGCACTGATGAACAGCACCTAACGAGTAGCGCATAAAGAATGAGCTTCTCAGTATTTTGTGTATATCTCTCTCAGTTCGACTTGATCTTTTTTCAAAACATAGCCCGTAGAATTCTCTACAAAATCCAATCGAAAGAGCTCTTCAAAAGGATAACTGGAAAACCATATCCGGTCAGCAATGCTATACTCCAAAAAGGTTCACTTTCAAGCTACTGTTTCTGGTTTTTGTAATTTTGCGTCGTTCTTTGACCACATACAGGAAAAACATCACTTTGTAGTTCATGGAAAGCTTTATCAGTTGACCGAATACTTTTTGGGCATACTGTAAATCTATTCGAATAAAATATTTCGTTTGTGCTCCCTTATTCACGTTTTAAGGATCTTCCATTGAGGTTCATCAAAATTTTGATTTAGTTAAGTCAAATATACATTTAATACGTATTCAGATTTATTACCAAATTAAAAGAAAGTATATTTTCTGTCATTTCTACCCAAATGAACTGTTGCAAAGACTCTTTTTTGTAATAAATGACGCAACTAAGAAGAATGATCAGTGGTTCCAACTCGATTTTTCAAGAACATTGGCCATTGCACTCTCACAAACTTATCTAAGGACCTTTTTTGAGCTCTGTTAGATAGAGTACACCTAAATACATAGGAAACTTGCTTTAGAATGGCCTGAAATCTGTTTAGCCAGAAAAGAGAAATAATTAGTCCTGTAAAAAAAAGTGCTTTTGAAAGTGGACGTTTTTGTAGTATAGCATTGCTGGCCAGTTATGGTTTTCCAGTCATCTTTTTGTTCTTTCCATTGGATTTTGTAGAGAATTGCACAGGCTATCTTTCGAAGAAAAAAAGTCAAGTCAGAGTACCGAAAAGTGAGAGAGATATTCAAAAAATACTGAGAGACTCATTCTTTATGCGCCATCCGTTAGTAGATCATATCCGTAACCTGTTACGTAAGATCCACCTATAGATGGGTTTTGGTACTCATCAACAAAATAAAAAGCGACTGAAAAGAAAGCAACAAATGGGTTAAACTGTGATAATAGAGCTGAACAAATAACTTCTTCAGCAAATGCGCTCATCTGACCTTCTTAATAATTACACTAGTTTGAGCCTTTTATAATGAGGGGACCCGTTAGTAGGTGTTATCCAGTCGAATGAGTTAGTATCACTTTTCAGACAGTTTTAGTCAAATGTAGGTTTGCAGACTAAAGCTTTTGCACCGCATTCTAAAGCGCTTTTCAGTAATCTATATATGTTACAGGCATTTCTCAAATTCAGGCAGATTTGAAATTTGCCTAGGCAACTATCTTAAAACTGTCCAGCGGCTTGTCCACGTACCTCGAGATTTCGCTGATCAAGTTTTGAAAAAATTATTTTAGAGTAGAACTGAAAGGCACATATTACTAGATGCAGTTTTGGGCTCTGATTACTAATCTTACATTATCTATTTAAAAAAAAAAAATCCAGTTTTACATGCTTTTAAAACTGTATTTTCATTTCCTTGGCTACCCAATGGGACTTGATCTAAAAATAGTTGAAAGTCTATAATAAAAGAAGCACAAAACTGATGATCTAAAACCGAAAAAGAACGAAAAGAAGATGATATTTCTTCGATATTTTGATTGTGCTTATATACTTGGCTGACCGCAAAACAAGACGGTGAATGTCCAGGGGTAAAAAAGTTACAAAAAAACGCGTTTTTTTTCGTTTTTAACGATCATAAAATGCGTTAAATGTTTCAGAACCAACGCTAATAAAAAGGCGTTAAAGTCGCGCTTTCACCCAAAGAACAAAGCTTTTCAAAATCCTTTTTCTACCAAAATGTAGCTCGCGCTCTCCCCTGTTGATTGATGTAGTTTTCATATTTTGTTGGTGCTTAAGCAGCGTAAAAAAAGATTTTTATCAACCGTACGGGAATTTTTACCGATCGGAAAACGTTCACTTTTCGGTCTAATGAGCCTACACAAAACAACAATGAATATTTCTAACTTGTTTTATCTACAACTATACTAGATGCCTATGTATCAAAGGAATTTCTTCATGTGTGAATACGGCATAAACCATGTTTTATTATCCAGATTGAAATTTGCCTAGGCAAATCTGAGATCCGCCTCGACAGTTTTGAAATTAGATACTTGCCTAGGTAGATCTGAAATCAGCATATGCAACCATTTGATTTGATAATCTTCATAGGCAGGTATCTAATTAAAGATCTATCTAGACAAATTTAAAATCTGCCTGAATTTGAGAAATGCCTGTAACATATACGTTAAATTATTAATCTTTTACGCATGCTGACGTGCATCAAGATATCAACATTATTTGATGAGTTATGAGACTTGAACGTTTTTTCAACAACAATGGACAAGCACTTAAACAATAAAAGATACATTCTCTCTCGAGTATTGAACTTACTGTGTATATATTGTTTCATATATTCGAGCATACAAATACAGATAGATTTTTCATCTTCTCACTTGTCTACTAAATGTACAGCCACATTCGAACATTTATGTGTCTGTGAGACATCCTTCATTGAAAAAATGGTTAGACATTAAACAGGCCTGTAGCACACAGATTTCGTTTAGAAAATGCAACAACATCTTGGAATGAACGGTCTTTTATTGCAGACGGTTGTAGAAAGACGCATTTGTCTTCTACGTGTCCAATTACGCCCTGACTATGGGTGATTAACTTGTAGAACAGATTTCTTACCTGGCATGCTACTGTACTGATATCTATTTTAGATTGTAATGCATTAACAAATTCATCCTTAGTTAAACCATTATGTTGTTTTATCTTTTCAAGTGCTCTTTCGTACCACACTAATGCCTGTTTATGTTCATTTAGTCTTGAATGTTGATCACCGATGTTCTCACAGATGTGCGCTACATCAATTGCTAATTGTGATATTAGAGGTTGTGTAGTGTTATCGACTAATCGTATTTTGTCAAACTTAGAAGCCCATTGTGAATGACGTGATTTATCTTGACAATAGATATAAACCGAATGTAATTGTGGAAGATCATGAATCGATCTTATAGTTGTAAGGCCCAAACTACCAGATGTTACCAGAAATATTTGTTTATTTTCTAAACTACGTATGAAGTGTTCACATTCATCTGAGTTTTCATGAGCAAACCATTTGTCCGGCGAACTTAGAGTATCAAACACTGCTCTATCAGTAATCGCTTTAGTATCAAGCCAAATAAATGCTAAACCATTAAATTTTGATAAGTTAATATTTAATAGATCCATGATGGTTGTTTATACGATACGTTCTAACCAAAATATAACGAAGAGCCTACAAAATATCTGTTTCAAATATCATTCACGTCTTACTATTTATAAA